TTTGTTTCTTGCTAAAGGCGCTCAACGGGAAATAGGTATTGGGTCCGACTAAGACCAAGTAACCACCCGATGTGCTGCGATTATCATGTTCACCTGCGTGGTCAGAGTCAGCGAAAAGCCAAAGGTTGCATTTGTCTATGCTGTCTCCCACAAATCCCGACATCTTATAGTGAAGGGTGCTGTGGACATAGCACATCAACCTGTGCAAGGCTTTGTCACAATCAACAGACCATTTGGTGACTCTAGCAGCGAGGCCTTGAACAGCTCTAAGCAGGTCGAACCTGGCCATCCTAGCCGCAAACAAAAGCTTCATCAGAACACGGCTGGCGATCGGGGCGAGCTTACCTCGAACTTCGGCCTCAGTTCCCACTGGGCGAGCTATCTTATCATCATAGAAAGGAGTAGAAACCTTCTTCAAGTTGTGGAATTCAGAAGGAGTGAGCTCTTTGTATCGGTCTATGGCCTGTTGTAAAAACGAGCTCATATCATAGATAACCTGCCGTGTGGGCGATTTCATGCAGCCCTGACCTTTGTCAAGCTGATTGACATCGTAGAACGCCTGCTTGCGTGCGGCTTTCTTGGCTTTGGTCTTGTCACGCACGCGATTGATTGCAGCCATCGCGGCTGTGCGGTTAAGTTGTTCGGACACAAGATACGTGCGTCCAGTCCATAATTCCCCCCGCTTTCTAGAGCTAACTTTGTCATCCCAAACCTCTTCGACCACTTCGGGGAAAGCTAAGGACGTCACTTCCGTGAGTCGACTTTTGCCAACATTTAACGCCTGAGCCTCTTCCGGTTTGAGAGAATAGTAAGCTTTGCGGGGCTGAAGATGATGTCGGACGACAACACCGTCTTCAGGATAGTATTCGCTGTAGTCTTGAACAGCTGCTGCAGTGGCTGGTTTGGCAGCTGGGTCAGGAATGCTTTTGTCGAAGACATGAGCAAATGGATGGTCTGCTTTTCCAAGCGACGTAGATTGAGAAAGGTGCTCGCAACCTAGGTAACGACCTAATGGTGCAGGAGTATCCATATCAATCTTAGAAGCAATCAATTCCCAACCTTTGGCCATGTTTTGTTTCGGCCCTGCCATCTTGAAGTCGTCAACGTAGACAGCTAACAAGAGCTTAAGGTCCGGATG